TACATTCTTAAATCTCCAAATTTACACATTTTTTGACAGCTGCATGTAAATATAAAAAAGTGTGTTTTTTTTTTAATTATTTATGTGTTTACGCTGGTTACCGTGTAGGGATGGCACAGCTGTAGGATGCCGCGCATAATATGATATCCGACCAAGTATCCGACTATGTTCGTTTGCAAAATATTCCTTTCCAAAAAAATTAAATTTGTTTCTAAGTCCATGGAAACGAACCACTGCCAGATGTCAAAAAAGTCGAGGGGGACGACTCTATCTACGATGCAAAAAAGATTGTGTTTTGCTGTGGCTAGCTGCACGCACGCTTAGTAGATAGAAAGAAGATTGATGACGATTCTGAAGATTTCCTGCAAAAAATTGATGAGCGATGCAAGTAGATGCGACAAATGAAAGAAGATTGTTCGAAGATTGATTCGCTAGTGTGAGATTTCTCGATGAACATTTCAAATGGTCCTATCTGCTTTGATCGATTCTCTTCATCGACTTTCTCTTTCGTTAATAACTCAGCTGCAAAACCTTTCCCTGTTGTATTTGACGTTTTGGACGCTAGATAAGAACCTCCTTTATCAAACTATGTGGTAGAATTAGCGCGAAATCTGTTTGCATAGCAGTGGATATGAAAAGAGAAAGTCGATGAAGAGAATCGATCAAAGCAGATAGGACCATTTGAAATGTTCATCGAGATTTGTTGACCATCTAAACTTGAGATTTAGATGTGTCGCCCCCCTCGAAAAAAGTGAAGTTAACCCGACGGTGCAGCTCCCTATACGCTATATTGGCGTTGACGGCACCGTCGAAAAGTCGTCTCTTCTAGAAAAGATTGACAGTTTCTTATAGGATTTTTCGGTGGAGTGAAAGGATAGTACGAAGTCCGCCATGTTTCACGCACAGTCTGACGTTTGCTTATGGATTTTACCATAGGAGTAAAGAGCTACAGAGTCGCCGTCAACGCCAATTGCCAGCGAGTTTTGTTTATAATCGCATCGATTTCACTCATTTCACTGACGGTTTGCTCCAGAGACTTTGAAACATTTACCTTTTATTACATTGTTTGATTTATATATTGCTGATTCACAGCAATCATGGCATGCATCGACATTTCACAAATAAGAAGAAGTAACATCCGCAGCTGTCAAACATAAACACAACACGAAGCAAATCACAACGGGATAATAACTATCATTCTTCGAAGCCTCGGTAGCAAATGGATCGAACTGCTTGATGCATTCGATCCAGGCCAGTGACAAGGCCTATACCAACAGCAGCGTTTGACAGTAGGTAGCATGTCCCGGGCTCAAATCATTTATTTTGCTGTGCTGGACCCGCTGTCACGGAATAACATGTTGTCTACGCGCCTGCCACCGGGCTGATTCGATCCGATCCGCTGAATTATCATCAGGCTATGCTGAAAATAATTGTGGAGACGGGTGTCCTCATGAAACGAAGTAGTATAGTAGTCCATAGGTTGGTTAGAGGATCTTCTTGTGCCAATGCGCTGAAATGCAGTTTTCATTTTCTTTTCTATTGAAATAGCTTCAGATTTCTTCAATTTATCTTGCGAGCTTCCATCTGACTTGTTGTTTACTCGCAAATGTTTGGTGTTGACTATACGGATGTTTTTGCCCCAGTGACGCGTATTACTACGTTGCGTGCGTCCCCCGAAAAAAATTACAATACAATTACCATAAACTAAAATACAATTACATCAAAATCTATTACTAACAATAGATCTTATTGTACGTATATTGTACAAGAAAATTTAACATCTTGTTATTACAATAGATTTACAATACGTCCCATATAGTAAGAATTTTCAACAATAGAATAACAATACAATTAATGGTAAATGGCTCATCTTTGTTCGGGAAAAAGTGATTTTTCCTATGGTTAAGATACATAACAACCCCCTTGTTCTATTGTAAATTTCCCCATTTACCATAGATTCTATTGTGAAAACAAAACATTCTATGGTTATTTTATCGTTGTAGACAATATGGTTTATTGTAAATACAATAAATTCTATTATATGGTTACAATACATTTCATTGTACCTCTATGGTTAATTTTTTTACGGGTTGCTGGCTGTTGCGGGCAAGAAAGGGTTAGTGCTGAAACAGTACGACTTAAAAACCGCGTACACTCAGGTCTTTTTTTACACGGGGGATACGGTCCGTGTAAAAAAAACCGTGTAAAAAAACCTACGAGATTTTGATTTTTCGCATGCTTAAATGTTTTTAAAAAATCGGATTTTGATGCCATTTGTAATTAAAGCATGATATGGTCCATATAGACATATTTTAAAAATTTCTGTATATACACCAAAAATTGTGATTTTTTTTAAGTATGCCATTCGATTACAAATAGCTTGAAACGGATAATGTGATTGGAATCAAGTCGATAGGTTGTATCGTTGTCGAGAAATCGTTAAAAACGTACCGTGTAAATTGTGGAAAACCGTGTAAAAAAAACCGTGTAAAAAAAAACCGCGTAAAAAAAACCGTGTAAAAAAAGACTTCAGTGTATTTGAATGGCACAGTGGAAGACGAATTGTTCATGCGTCAACCACCGGATTTTGTAGTAACCGGACAGGAGGAGATGGTGTGCAAATTGAGAAAAAGTATCTACGGATTGCGTCAATCGGCACGATGCTGGAATAAAGCGTTGCACACTGTTTTGACGAAGAAGCTAGGATTTCGGCAATGTACGTCGGATTCGTGTCTCTATGTACGGAATGTTCGAGGTGTTATGGTATACCTGCTACTCCTGCTAGTGTACGTAGACGACCTCCTCATCGGATGCGTGGATGAAGCAGAGATCAACAGAGTGTATGAAGATTTGAAAGAAGAATTCGAGCTGACGTGTCTTGGGCCTGTACGACATTTTTTGGGTCTGGAAATCCAAAAGAAGAATTGAATCTGCTCCATGCGGCTTACGGCCTACATCGATAAGTTAGTGAACAAGCTGGGTATGGACAAGGCAGCACCGGCGAAAACGCCAATGGATCCGGGGTATCTGTAAGCAATTTCCGGATCAGACATCGTACCGTAGCCTTGTGGGAGCTCTTTTGTATTTGGCTGTCAATGCTAGGCCAGATATTTCTGTCAGCGTGGGATTACTTGGACGAAAGGTAGCCGAACCAAATCAAAGCGACTGGTTTGCGGCTAAACGTGTCGTGCAGTATTTGAACGCGACGAAAGATCAGAAGCTGACATTCGGACCGGGACAGGAATGGAAGTTGATCGGATTTTCGGACTCGGATTGGACCGGGGATCAGCGAGCAGGCGGTCTACTACTGGTGTAACATTTTTCTACGGAAGTGGACCAATATGCTGGATAAGTAAAGGACAGGATTCGGTCGCTCTCTCTTCGTTGGAGGCGGAGTATAACGCACTCACCGTGCCGTGTCAGGAAACAATCTGGATCAAGCGATTGCTGAATGATCTCGGTGAACCTCAAGCCGATGCGATTACCATTTTTGAGGATAATCAAGGGTGCATCTGCTTTGCGAAGGCCGAGCGATCGAGTGGAAGAGTGAAGCACATCGACACAAAGAAACACTTCATTCGTGACTTGTGTGAACGGAATATCATCGTATTGGTGTACATATTGTCCTCCATGCGAGATGATTGCGGATGCTTTGACGAAGCCGTTGGGACGGCTTATGTTCAACAAGTTCATCGAACGGATTGGACTATCGGCTTAGGCGAAGTCGGTGGTCATTCAGGAGGAGTGTGGGAGTAGAATGACCACTAGTGTTCTACCCCTACATCCAGACGACAGAGTTAAAACGAAGTCACTTATGTATATTGAATCATCTTGTATCATACTATTTTTCTCACTTAGCCTACACATTCTGTGACAGAAAGACGTAAATAAAAGTTGTATTCATTTTCTCCAATATTTCGCGTGTTTGATCGTTTGTCCGAGTTATTTGTCCCTTTTCCGAGGTTTCCAGTAGTGCTCTGTTCTTTCACTCGTTGCCTTGTCCGGCGGATCCGCCATTTTGTAGCCTGACTACCACTCCACTATTTTTGATATTTTTGTAACTATTTACTTGATAAAATTAAGGAATTTGATAATCTAATGCTACTAATAAACCACATTAAATCGATCAACAAAAATTAGTGGATTATTGTTTAAGAAAATACTCGAAAAAAGGATAAAAACTTCGCAGTGAAATAAAAAGTATGAAGACACGTGCGAAATATTTCACCAATTACTTGCTGGGACGAACTAAGATACTATTAATATAGGTCAAAGTCAAAAGTACTTGAAACACGTAAATTTTAAATTACAAGCACAAGTGCAGGTACTTTATAAAGCATGGATTATGATTGATTAGGTAGATTAGCGATTTCAATTATTTATTAAATTAAACTAATGAGATATCATAATCATCAAATGAACTTAAATAAGAAAATTCGGACAGTCTAATAACATTAAGTAGATTTACAAAAGAGTTAGGATGCGGGGGTCCGCTTAGGGAGGCAACTAGTTGTAGAATAAATCTTCCTATTCAGCATATTTATTAATTACACGCAATGTCAACAGTGACAACCATATTCGATCACGCGCTTACGAATAAGTGAGGTTTTGGAAAGGATGTGTTAAATATGTTGATATATTTGAGGTGAGAATTAGGGCTGTTGTGCCTTAGTATGTTTTCGGTAAGGCAGGATATGTAAACCAAACCCTTTTGAGCAAATTTTCTAAAATCAATTCATGAAATTTAAAGGAAAGCAAGATCCTAATTGAATAGTTTATTGAAAGAAAAGTAGTACACCTTAATTGAAACATTGCGTTTTAAAACAGTATTCTGCTTGACATGTCATGTCTTTTGAACATATTTTATTCTGTCAGGTCGTGGCCTTTTTTTGCATAGACCATTATGTAGTAAGCATTGCATTTATTTGTTTATAATTTATTTTAATTGTGGACAACACGCCCCCCCCCCCTCCTTTCCCCCCTAACCTGTGCCACTAAGTGTGGGAAGAAGAAGGTTAAATCCATTATATTAACCGTAGACGTATAATAATATCATCCATTAAAAAAAACTAACATAAACAAGGATTATCTGTACTGCAAAATGAGATTTACTGCTGTTTACTGCATAGCTTGAGGGTGATGCATATATTATGTCACGCTCTGAAGAGGGAGGGGAAATGTAAGATTTTGTGATATATAATGCATTAGGTATAGGAAAAACGTGATGAATGGGGGGAGGAAGGGTAAATTTTTCCTCAATTTTACGTGACACAATTAATGTTGACCTGCAATTAATAGATGTTATTGTTGTAAACATTTTGCCAGTACAAACGAAAGATATGTGGAGCTGAACATTTATAGGCTTCGTGTGTTCCGCAAAGCAATGATGTGTCAATCAGAATCGCTGAACGCCTTTTTCCGTCGTTTGCCTGATTTTTGTTTTGACCAATCCTCCTGAAAAGAAATATTAAATTATTAATTTTTTCGTATAGATGATAAAATTTCAAAGATTGTTTTTATGTGTCCCACACATGAATTTTTGCAATATGATCAACAAATGATATCTATGACTTTGAAAATTGGTAACTACACTGCAATGCTAATTTCTGTCTGTCAAACATATGATTTTAGAATTTTGATCGAATTATGGACCCAGGGGATCACGGAATGGACCTCTGGAAAATCCAAACATGCTTAAAATTGGTAAATTCATTTAACTGACTCTAGATCTTAGCGATAGCGGCGCCGGTGATGTAGTGGTAAGCGTGATTGTATCTCACCCCAGCATGCCTGGGTTCAATCCCAGTCGGTGCCGTCGGCATGTTCTGAGGCAGAATATCTCTGATCACGCCTTCCTTCGGAAGGGAAGTAAAGCCGTTGGTCCCCGGTTCATGAGTTGATGGGTGGATAGGTAGGGTCCAGGTGTGGGAGCTGCCCCCTCACGCTAATTTGAAAGTACCCATTAATGGTTGAAAAAGACCCATTTTGAAGAAAAGTGGCTTAACTCATTAAATGAGTAAATTGTTTACCCATTAATGAGTATCTGTTACCCATTAATGAGTAATTATTAATCATTAATGTGTAACAGATACTCATTAATGGGTAAAATTATTTAATCATTAATGAGTTAAGCCACTTTTCTTCAAAATGGGTCTTTTTTTACTCATTAATGAGTACTTTCAAGTTAGCGTGCTGGCGTCGGTTGCATTGGTGCTCAGCACGGAATACAAGATCGACGGAAAAAAAATCCAAAGAAAAAAAAATCATCGATTTTTTCTAAACTCTTCATAGAAGCCTTATCAACATTAATTCGGAGTTATGAGAACAAAATGGATCCTGGGATCTACGGGATGGCCCTCCAGGAAATCAGAAACTTCCGGAAAAGTGGTCAATTCATAAAACTGATCCTAGAGCTTCACAGTTTTTTCAAAAACAATCATAGACATCTCTTCGGAATGAATTTGGAGTTGTGATCACAGTATGGAATTTTTACTCAAACAACTTTAAAGTATACTATAGTTCAAACTGTTAAATATGTCTACTATTCCAATTGCTAAAAAAAATAGCAAATTCTCGAAAAAGTGCACAATCCGATGGTCCCTTTAATATTTAGATGTATATAATATTATGTAGTATGGGGTCCCTTCACCTTTCTAAGTAGATGTTAAATAAATTTTACATCCGATCCTGCGATTATAAAGATTGTGGGCATGTGTATAATGCGATGTTGTAAAAATCAAAATGCAATAATTTAGAAGCTCGTTTGGTTTAAAAAATCGACAAAATTGGTAACGGGAACACTAAAAGAAGGTACCGTAAAATGCAGGTAACTTTGAAAGAAGAATATAAATTTACCTTCTGCACTATTCACTGGCGTACACAGGGTGGGGCAAGGTGGGGCAATTGCCCACCTTTTATAAATAAGATTTTTATTTCCACATTTTCAAAGTTATGATAAAAATATCTAGATTTCTTGATACCTTGATTTGAAGGTAAAATTGAAACCCTTTTATTACGTCAATTCCTTTGAGATGGTGCTTGAAAATTGCACCACAAAGGTGCATGAAGGGACAAACTTCAATGAAATTTTTTGGTCAAAAAATTGCACCACATTGATGAATACAAAAAAATTCTGATGTATTTTTTTTTAAAGGTTGTTCATGGAGTGTTAAAAGAAAAGGGTAAATTTAAGGTTAAAAAATTCAGCTTCGTGGTGGTAAATCGAAGAAAAACCTTTTTATTGAATATTTCTGGTTAACAATATCATCAAGGGTGTCTGACTAATCAAAATGAATAACTCTGGTTCTAAAATTGAATCGCGCTAAAAATTTGGAGGTACACATTTAACTGAAAATTTCTGGTGAAAAGTACGCAACACTGTGGTGAATGTAAAAGCAATATTTATTAATTTTTCTGGTGCATAATTTGCATCGTTCTGATGAATGCAAGCTTCATTGAAAATTTATGGTTGAAAATTTGCCCCATTCATCATGAAGAGGCAAAGCCTGAAAATTGCACCACAAAGGTGCATGGTGAAACAAACTTCACTGACAATTTTTGGTGCACCGTTTTGGTGAATGGAGGAGCATGCTCTATGAAAATTTCTGGTGCGAAATTTGCATCGCTTTGATAAAAGAAATGAACAGAAAATTTCTGGTGGAACTTGCACTAGTCTGGTAAATGAAGGCACAAGCTTTATTTAAAATTACGCTAAATTTAAAATTTCTGGTGGAAAATCTGCACCGTTCTGGTGAACGGATGGGCAAGCTTTTCGGAAAATGTTTGGTCTTAAATTTGTTGAATAGAGAAACAAATTTTAATAATAATTTCTGGTGTAAAATTTGCACCATTCTGATGATTGGAGGGAAGCTGCTTTACTGAAAATTTATGATGAATAATATGAAAAAAGGGCAAGCTTTATTTGAAAATGTCTGGTGGAAAATGGAAAAAGGAAATTGAACATTAACGGTTTAAAATTTGCATCTTTCTTGTAATTCAAATTTTCTGGGGGCAAGTTTGTATTGAAAATTTCTGGTGTATGATTTGCAACATTCTGCTGCATGGAGGAGCAAGCTGAATTGTAAATTCCTGATCTAAAAATTGCACAGTTCTGGTGAATGGAGGGGCAAGCTTTATTGAACATTTCTGGTGGAAAAACTACAACGTTTTGGTGAATGGACAGACAAATTAAACTTGATTTTCGAGAAAAGAAAAGATTTCTGGGGATGATTTCATGAAAATTCTGCAAATAATTTCTAGTGAATCCTGCAGATAATAACAAGATAAATGCGAAAAGAATACCGAGAGAATCAAATTTTGAATGCAATTCCAAAGGGATGTTGAGGAAAATTTCAAGGGAGTTCGGAGGATAATTTCAAGCTAATTCTGGGAAGAATTTCTGGAGAATACAGGGGAAATTCTTCTGAAATTTGAGGGAAATTTCAGTTCCAAAGTGTTTTGAGAAAAAAAAAAGTTCTAAAATATTCCGAGAAGAACCTCAAAGATATTGAATTCTTAGGACAGTTCCAAAATATTTCTGGGGAGAATTCCAAGAAAATTCTACGGATAATTTCTAGTGCATCCTCCGGATAGTTCCAAGATAATTTCGAAAAGAATACAGAGAAAATCAAATTTTGAGTGAAATTCCAAAGGGATTTTAAACAAAATTTCAAGCGAATTCCGAAGATAATTTATAGCTCATTTTGGGAAAAAAAAATCTGAAACTCTAAAGGAATTTGAGTTCCAAGGTGTTCTGAGAAAAAAAAACATGTAGAGATCTAAGCATAATTCCAGTGGACTTCTGAGAAGAATATCAAACAAAAGAGCTCATAGGAGAGTTCTAAAAAATCCGCGAAAAACCTCAAGGATATTGAATTCTGAGGACAGTTCCAAAGGATTTCTGGGGAGTATTCCAAGAAAACTCTGCGAATAATTTCTAGTGAATCCTGCAGATAGTTCCAACATAATTCCGAAAAGAATACAGAGAAAATTAAATTTTGAGTGAAATTCTAAAGGGATTTTGAGGAAAATTTCAAGAGAGTACCGATAATTTCTAGCTCATTTCGAGAATAATTTCTGGATAATACTGAGGAAATTCTTCTGAAACTCCAAGGGAATTTTAGTGTTCTGAGTAAAAGTAAAGAAGAGTTCTAAAAATAATTTCAGAGGACTTCTGAGAAGAATTTCAATAAAGCTCATAGAGTTCTGAAAATTTCGAAAAGAACCTCAAGGAATTCTGAGGATGGACTTTTTTGCAACTGTACAAAGTCTAAAGACAGCTTTTGGATTCCCTAATTGAAAAGTGGGTATTAGTTTGCAATTGAACTTTGGTCAATTGTTGTGTTACAAAAAAATCGTCTAAGAATCTTCTCTGAACATTTAAAGTCATTTGTTACCGTGGTTAAAAAGTTATAGCTGTTTCTGTGCGTTGCAATAATTTTGGGTTTGTCCTTTATATCATCTTTAAAACATCTCAGTTGAAGATTGCCGATAGACGTTTTGTTCGATCGCTGCGTTGTTTTTTTCGGTTGCTTTTGATAGCTGTACAGTACGGTGAAATGTCGAGTGTAGTAGCCGTCACGAATACCATTGCTTTCATATTCCCGAATAATGCTGCCCAGCCAACTCTACCGGAGATGGTCCGCTTCGTGAAAGGCCTCACCGGTGATCAGGGAAAAATGGACACGGCGTATAAAAATGCTGAGGAGAGGACGGTATTCATTAAATACAAGTCCGAGGAAGGCATGAGGGAAGCCCTCTCTTGTAACGATGAAAGGCAAACGTTCTATTATTCTAATGGAACACAAGTGGAGGTTTGCATGTCGGTAGCGGGTTGTAACATCCAGTACGTACGGGTGTTTGACCTACCGCCGGAGGTATCCGATCGTGATCTTGCTGCTGAACTAATCAAACTTGGGAAGATTAAGCGCTGTGTGCGGGAAAAGTATCCACCCGAATATCAACTGGATTTGTTCACTGGTGTCCGCGGAATTTACATGGATGTGGAGAAAGAAATTTCACCAGCGCTCTACTTCCTTAGCAGAAGAGAAAGAATTTTCTACAGTGGAAATAAATTGAAATGTTTTGCTTGTGGACAAGAGGGACATCAAAAAAAGTCTTGCGGAAGGAGGAACGTAAAAATAACAAGAGACACAGGAGCAGGTGTCGAAAAAAAGAAGACGGGAAAAACACATTCGCTGCCGTTCTCGCAGGAACGAGTTCGTCAGACAATGTCGAGAAGCAGGCAATAGATTTGGAAATAGAGATGCTGGAGAGGAAGAAGAAGAAGAAGAAGAAGAAATCGGTACAACACTGGAAGCTGAATTGGATCAACACAACCAGCAACACAACGGAAAACAGCAGAACAATCAACACAACCAGCAGCAGCAGAAGCAACCGGTATTACACTACCAACCGCAAAAGCAGCAAAAGATTGGAAACTGGACTGAGCACGT